GCTAATGATAAATATCATAAAGCCTCCCATTTGAAATAAATAAATATTGTCGTGATTGGAAGCTAAATAGATAAATGATTGCACTCCAGAAAATATATATACAGATGGGTGATTTTCTACAGAAAACCGCATTTAGCCATTAAAATAGATTACTTTAACCTCGATTGAAAATTATCTTTAGTCCATATTGCATTTAGGATAATGCACACACTATATAACGGAATTCTCCGCACCATTATTTGACCTTGAAAGCACTCATAATCATCTAAACATCACCTCTTTGCTAATTTATCTGGGAAAATTAATCTAAATGCAAATATTAGCTTAATGAATGGTAGTATTTTAGGTCGAAATTACAAAGCTAATTAAAATTAGCAAAAAAGAGGTTTAGTTGTGAAAATCGATAGGTTCCTTAAGATTAGCCAAAAAGATAGTTTTATTGATCTCACTTGGGATTATAATATTTCTTCAGAAATATAAATTTGCAACTTTTGAAATGCAAAGGATCATGATTAGTTCTGAAGAATTATGGATTTAAATTGGTAATCAAGTTATGTAATTAAATTCTGTTTAAGAATGTTGCCCATTTGTCATTCCAAATAACTTGCATGTGTGGATACACTCTTGACTAAATAGAATTATATAGATATTAGCATCTACTAGTTTTTAATTGTTTTAAACGTTTAACGATTCCATTCTATTAAATAATTGCGCCATTTCGTTTCTAATCCAATAACATCAACACTACACTATGACCATGTCTTTCGTGATTTGCATTTGGCGATTATAACGAATTCGCTAGAGCGCAGATAGTCATATGCTGCCTTCTGTTATCATCAAATTTTATTAAAAAATGATACTATTTCTATAATCGCATGTGCGAAATATTACTTCCAGAACTCGAAATTGAAATATCTACACATTGTTTCAAATTCATTTCCTGTAACTGCTTTGTGAGGTTCTATTCACACAAGCAAAAGAAAAACCCTTTTGTCAGAAAATCCTCAAGAGATTTAAAGATACAAGTAAGACAGTTTGATGAAATTAAGAAAGACATAGCAACACCAAATAATGTACTTACTGAACTATAATAGACCTCGCGAACTCAACGATGCGATAAAACAGCTAAAGTGCAAGAAGTCTCCTGGCGAAGGCAATATTCATCCGGAATTAGAATGGGACCAAAAGCCAAGGAAACCATGCAGACGCTTTACAACAAAATCTGGGAGACAGTAAACCATGCTGACGCTTTACAACAAAATCTGGGAGACCAGTCATGCTGACACTTTTCAACAAAATCTGGGAGACCAGTCTCCGATGGAAAATTGCCATAGTAATACCAGTACCAAAAAAGGGCGTTGCCAAAATAATGCTAGTACTGAAAAAGGGCAAAGACCCTAGCAACTTTGACAACTATAGGAAAATGGCAAGGACCCTAGCAACTTTGACAACTATAGCCCTATCTCCCTCAGTGATGGCTAAACTAATGGAAAGAATGGTTAACAGGAGGCTGACCTGGCTTAACTTATGGAAGGAATGGTTAACAGGAGGCTGACCTGGTTCCTTGAGACCAACAATATCCTTTGAACAAGCAGGTTTTAGGCCACGGATCAACGAGCCAAACACTTTCTTCCAACACATCAAAGATGCCCTTAATGCAAAAAATACCCTTTACTTTCTTCCAACACATCATAGATGCCCTTGATGCAAGAAGTACCCTTACAGCTGTTTTCGTCGATTTCAAATCAGAATATGACTTAGTATGGAAACAGAAGCTAATTCTAAAATTAGCAAAGATTGATATTATTTTCGTCGATTTCAAATCAGAATATGACTTAGTATGGAAACAGAAGCTAATTCTAAAATTAGCAAAGATTGATATTAAGCATAACATGTTAAACTGGATAAAAGCATTCATTGGACAAAGATCGTGTAAAGTCAGATATCTTAATGCTCTATCAAAATGCGATTATGTAAAGTCATTGAATAAAAGCATTCATTGGACAAAGATCATGTAAAGTCAGATCGGGGCATTCATTGGACAAAGATCGTGTAAAGTCAGATACGGACCTCAATCAAAATCCAATCTTTTACAAACAGGCCGTCCACAGGACTATCAAAATCCAATCTTTTACTAAAAGGCCTTCCACAGGGAGCTGTCACAAGCTGCACTCTTTTCGATGCCTTCATCAATGACATAGCCGAATTGGTACAGACAGTCACAAGCATCAAGTGCTTACTTTACGCAGATGATCTGGCACTATGGTATTCCGCTCCTAAGAAAAACGCTCAGGAGAGGACAGAAAGTGCTCTTAATGGTGCACTTAAACCACTAGCAAACTGGTGCGACAAAAATGGAATGGAGATCAACACCGCAAAAACTGCATTCCAAATATTTTCTTTGGCCCATCACAGCAAAAACCCAATTTTAAGGTACAAGGATACTTCCCCAGAAAAAAACCAATGAGTTCACTTATCTCGGAATGACGTTTGACACAAAGCTAACGTGGAAAAGTCACGTTGCTAAAATAGCTGAACGAGTCTCCAATAGACTGGATGTACTGAAGCGTCTTGCTGGTAGCGTATGAGGCTGTGCGCGCTCAACTCTAATCACCACTTACAAGATGTTTATTCAATCAATAATGTTGTATTGCTTAGAGCCACTCATTACAGCCGCAGAGGTGATTCTCAAACCACTCGAGAAGGCACACAACCAATCATTACGACTAATTACTGGAGGGATAAAATCAACACCCATTAATGCAATTCTCCCAGTTACAGGAAGCACCACAATAGATTCCCTTATCAAATAAAAGGCCTAGATACTGTATGAGAAGCTACTGCGCATTCCCATGGACCAGTTCTTCAGCACCTATGAGAATAGACCAAGACATCTGAAAACGCAATCTGGTCTAATACAGAAAGCCATAGAACTGTAGAAAGCGTTACAAATCGATGATAAACCAAAAAGCCTTTCTCTCCAGATGAACCCATTAGAAGACATTGATGCAGTGTTTTGCACCCAACTGCTCGACTTCTTCAGGAAATCAAACACTCTTCCAGAGTAAATGCGCTCACTGATCCTTGAGACAATCAATGTCAACTATCCTGGAGATCAATGGCTCCACGTCTTCACTGATGGGTCATACATAGAAAGCCAAGCAAACGTTGGTGCAGGTGTCTATTCTGAACTCTTCTCTTTCTACGCAGCAGCGGGACCTAATATATCCGCTTTTGAAAGAGAAATAGAGGCCATTAGGATAGCACTATGCCAATTATGTTGCCAGGATACAAAATTCACCAAAGCAGGGATACTTTCGGACTCACAGTCAGCAATTAACGCTATTGGATACCGAGGGACACCAAAACATCTGAGATAAAGGAATGTAGAAAACTCTATGAGCTGCTGAGAGAGAAAAACAAAACAGTGGTCCTTCAATGTTTTCCTGGTCACTGTTTCATTAAAGGCAATGAGCTTGCTGAATCACTTGCTAAGAAAGGGACAACGATTTTGCAATGCATGGACCGGCCGATGTCTTTCCACACAATCAAGGTCTTAATCAGAAGAGACCGATGTCTTTCACACAAGGTCTTAATCAGAAGAGATTTCCAGACCCCAAGGTTCAACGAACTCAAAGCTCGAACAAAGGAGAAACAGTGGACAGTGACACTCTTCGACATACCCGACTGGCCAAGAATCGAAGCCGTTGCTGAGTTCAGACTACGTACCGGACACGATTGCTTGGCAAAACACCTTCACAGACTGGGAGTATACACTCAACCCACATGCCCACTATGTAACCTACAGGAGGAAATGGAGAAGGCCCACCTAATTCGGTGTCCTGCTTTAAAGACAAGGACGGAAAGCCAGAGATACTGGGAAGCAAGTAGACAGCTAATGAATTGCTATTAATTAACTGCTATAATTGTACCCCCCCACCTTCACCCTTGGGGGAAGCTGAAGTCAAAGATTAAGGGCTAATGATAAACATCAAAAAGCCTACCATTTGAAATAAATGATGAGGCAGACCCTTGGGGGAAGCTGAAGTCAAAGATTAAGGGCTAATGATAAACATCAAAAAGCCTACCATTTGAAATAAATAAATAAATAAATTGTACAGAAGTTCAATTTGTTCATTTCTATATGTTTTGCACTATTATTATGCTTTTAAATATTTTTATTATTTGTACACAAACAGGGCAAATGCACTACCACTACTTATTCATTTAAGTATAAATGAAAATCAAATAAGTAAAAATATACCAAATCCCTCGTTTTTGATTCAAATGGTTAAATTTTGAAGCGATGCCTGGGTATTTAAAAATCAATTTTACTATTCAAATAAACTTACTATGTAGCGAATATTGACTAGTTCAAATAGCACATAATACTTCAAGTCAGGCTTTTGGGAGCAAAATTTTTGGTGGCACCAGCATTTTTATAGTTACCATTAAAATTCAGTTTCAGGAGTGCGGCCTTGAAACTAATCGACTGCTGAATAATCACCGAATAAAGTGTTTTCACTTTAAGTTGTTGCGAGGGTTTAGAAATCTTTTATTTGATTTTGGTCTCTCTGATATTCTGTCTTGAACGTGTTTTCTTTCAAATAAGGCAGCCCATTTCCGAAATACAAGGTACTTTGCTAATTACTAATGTCATCTTATTTTTCAGGTCATATATTGGTGCTGATACATCATATATAAAATAAATCTAGTCAAATGGATGAAATATCGACGAAAATATTTTCCTATTGACGTCAAAACAAACATTTTTAAAAGGTTAAATGCGAACCACCAAATTGCCTATAAGCATGCAATCATCGTTTATATTGACACCAAATATGCAAAAATAATTTTGAATTCAAAATAAAAGCCTGTGTATTAAAAAATTTTTTTTGAAAAAAAATCCTTAAAAACACAATTTCAGGTAAGCTTTCAATATCACATACTCTTCGCTTGTGAATAGGATAAATGCTAAGTTTAACATTAGCATTGCTTGCTTGAAAAACCAATGAGCAGTCGTGGCTCAATGCATTTGCCGATATTAAAGATATTGACAATTAAGGGAGTAACAATTGGTCCAGAAGCGCGTGAATCTACTATCAGACGGGACAACGATCGGATTGATTGCTCCGAGATACGAGCATCCAGCGCATCAAAGAAGGCTAGAACTGCTCGAATAGGAAACAGAGACGCAGAAAATAGTTTTTTGAGGTGTATGCAGCTGGAATGGCAGATTGAATAAATGTAAGTTAAAAATATAACTTTAAGACCTGGACTGCAAAATATTTTACCTGAAACTTAAAACGCGTTTTTTTAATCAGATCCCCACGATTTCTCAGATTCAGCCGAACTGATTTACTTGAAATTTTTAGAGAATCTTTTATGGACTTGTCTTTTTCCATAACTGTTGCCATCCCCAGATTCTTATATTTACTATTTTTAAATAATCGAAGAATGTTAAAAAAATGCTTAAAAAAAGTTTTTTAGACAGTCGCCATTGTGTAAAATAATATATTCATAACTTTACCGTATTTCAGGACATAGCGAGATATTTGTTGATTGGTATTCTTTTTTATATGTGATTTCCGATTTCTAGAAGAGTTAAAATCGTGGGTATGGTCTCGCACCAAATTTTGGAGACCCCCCACTACATCAGCTGATAACTAACCGAATTAATTTTTTTATTTTTTTTATTGTTCATGCTTCTGATGTAAATAAATCATGTATAAAAATATTGCTGGCTTTTATTACAGTACATTTAAAATGACCTAAAATGCATGTTTCTTGACGGGAATAATAATTGCTCAACGATGCTAAAATCCAATCAACCGCTCAACATTTTATCCTATTTCTGCAAATCCGAAAATTTGTGTCCAGCTTTTAAAATTCGGATAGCACCACAAATGTATAATTCCGAAAAGATGAAATGAAATATAAAATGCTATTGGGAATTGTCAAGGTCTATCAAATAACAATTTTATGCTGTCCATGTAATTGCATCTTTAATACACACGAAATGCTTTATTTTGTATCAATTGCATGTAATAAAATGTTGAAATTATTGTCATTTTACACATTTCGATATTTAGTTACACAAATTTAGTATTTGTTATATATACCAAGCCGTTCTTTTTCGATTAATAATAAGTACACGCTTTAGAAACATATTTACCCAATAAAAATCACTTTAGAAAAAGCGAAAAACGTTAAATTTTAAATGTTGATTTGTCTGCTTAACTAGATAAAGGTATTCATTGGACAAGGATCATATGAAGGCAGATATGGGAATGCCAATCTTTTATCTTAGTTATTTTGGGTGGCTCTCTATATCCAGTTTGGTTCATTGCTAAATGTGAGTCCGAAAGTATCACTGCTTTGGTGACTTTCGTATCCAGGCAACATAATTGGCATTGATTGTCTCAAGGATCAGTGAGTTCATTCGTTCGGGATAGGTGTTTGATTTCCTGAAGTAATTAAGCAGTTAGGTGCTGCTAATGGGTTCTGGGTAGAGGGAGGCTGTTTGATTTTTCAAGGATCTGTAAGGCTTTCTTCAATTCATTGGCTTTCTGTACAAGACCAGCTTGCGTTTTCAGTTGTATTGGTTTATTCTCATAGGTGCTGAAGAATTTATCCATTGGAATGTGCAGTAGCTGATCATACAGGATCAAGGCCTTCTCTTTGATAAGGGAACCTATTGCTTTTCTTTGATAAGGGAACATATTGTAGTGCTTCCTGTAACTAGGAGCATGGCAGGAACCTATTGTGGTGCTTCCTGTAACTATGTGATAAGGGAACCTATTGTGGTGCTTCCTGTAACTAGGAGTAACAATGGGTGTTGATTTTATCCCTCCAGTAATTAGTCATATCAATAGGTGTCGATTTTATCCACTCAGTAATTAGTCGTGATGCTTGGTTGTGTGCATTCTCGAGTGGTTTGACAGTCCCCTCTGTGGCTGTAATGAGTGGCTCACAACAATACAACATTATTGGCTGAATAACCATATTGTAAGTGTTGTTGAGATTTGAGCGTGCACAGCCCCATACGCCACCAGCAAACGCTCCAGTACAGTCAGCTTATTTAAGATTCTTTTTGCCATTCAAAATTCTCATATTCGTTAGGCTAATATTTGCATTTCAGATTAATTGCCGGATATATATACGCAAAGAAGTGATGTTTGATGAATATGAGTGCCTGTTAATTATTTTATCTAATTATATTTATTACCAAGCAAAATTGTACAAGCATTGCAA